AGAGGCTTTGGCCTACAGGTGTATCAGCAATTTTAGGGAAAGTGGGGAGGGTTTTGTGCTTACCTAGAAGGTGGGGGGAGTGGGTGTCTCCAGAGGAAGAGGCCCCACAGGTTTCAATGCCTCCACCTTCAAGGACCCGTGCCCCTCCCTTCCCCCTGGCGGTATAGGGAACTGGGCATTTGGTTTGGTCAACCCCAGCCCTTCAGGGTCCAGGAGTCCCCTCCTCATATTCCACTAAGGTCAAAGGGAGAGAGGCTGGGGGTGGGGTGCCCAATTAGGAAACTATATAGTCACCTGGGCTAGTGTACCCAAGGTCCTGCAGACCCTGCCCGGCTGGCCCTGAGATCCTGCTGTGTCTACAAACATCTCATACCCTTTCAAGACTCAGGAGTCGGCCTTCATGATCACCTCCACTCTCAACACAGGAATCCGGGCTCCCAGCCTCTCCCTCATACTCTAGGTCCCCAAGCCCTCACCTCCGGTTAGTCCAAATTCCTAGCTGCTTCCTCCCTCGGGCCCAGGAGTCCGGCCCCAGCTCCGCCCCCTCCCCACCTCCGGCCCTGCCCCTCCCCACACCTCCTCCCGCTCGATCAGATCGTCCTCCTCTTCATCCTCGTCGTCCTCATCATCCTCTCCATCCTCCATCGTCGAGTACTCCTGCGTGAAGGGCACGGCTCCCTCGGCCGAATGGAAGCGCAGGCGGTAGAGCAGCCGCACCCACTGGCCGAACTCGCGGTCTCGGGTCTCGGGCGGGGCCCGCAGCTGCAGGTAGAAGGCGCGGCCGGTGCGGAACTTGACCTTAAGCTGCCAGCGACTTTCATCGTGGACGAAGAGCTGGACGAACTGCAAAGGGAACAGCCTGGGAGGGCGGGAGGGGCGGCCTCAGCTTCCAACGCCCCCTGGCCCGACAGCCTCGCCGTCCTGAGCACCTTCAGGGTCGGGGGCACCCACCTCGACGCCCCTCTCTTGGCCCAGAGAATCCTTTTTCACTTTCTCTGCCTCGTGAATTTTATCCATCCCCAGAGCACCTTTGTGCCTCCCGCTGATCCTTCTCGTAGATAGCTGCCTTCTAGAAATGTCCACTTGGATGTTGGAATGGCATTGGATACACAACAGGTCCAGTGACCAAATTCCTGACCTCCCCAACCCAAACCTGCTCCTGTCTCCATCTTCTGCATCTTGACTACATCCTCCCACTTGCTCGGTCAGAAATCGTGGAGTTGCGCCCGACCCAACTTCCTCCTATCTTCATCCAATCCTGCCACCAAGTCCTGATGGCTCTCCCGTTAAAATGTATCCACGATCCGACCTCATCTAACTCCTTCCGCCACCAGCCCAGGCCTTCCACCAGAGAATTTCCCGGCTGGGCGGTTTCCTCAGCCTTCTCCGTTCTTTTCCCACGGGGCCGCCAGAGGGCGCCCCTCAACCCCTGAGTTCAAGTCCCTCCCGTGGCTCAGAGTAAAGGAAAGTCTGCATGCACCTTGAGCCGCCAGGCCCTGCGGGGTCGGCCTTCTCTGTTTACCTCTCTGCCCACTCCCCTCGCTCACTCAGCCCCAGCAACATTGGCCTGGTTGCTGTGCCATAAACCTACCAGGCTTGCTCCTACCTCAGGACCACTGCACACGCTGGGAAATCATCCTCCAGCCAGCCCCATGACTTGACCCCATAATCTCAGGTCTTTCTCAAGAAGCACCTTCTCAGGGAGAGGGTCTGTTTACAAGCCGTGGCCTATTTGCAATCGTGCTCACCCATGCAGACCTCCCCACCCTTAACCTCTTCTGGTCTCCACAGACCTTACTCTGTTGGACAAATTGTCATTTATTCTGTCTGCTATCCCAGTAGGAGGTGAGTTTGCAGGCAGAAGTCTCATTCTGTTCACTGCTGCTCCCCAAGAACCCAGAGCTCACACATGGTAGGTAGGTGTTCAATGGATGCTCGTTGAGAGGGTTGATAATTTGGCACAGGTCCACAGCGGGGATTTGAACCCAAGTCTTATCCATGTTCTTAATCACCACACCGGATAGCCACATAGCACCCTTTGGCACAGCAATACTACCTCTAGGAAATGATCATATAGACACCCTCACACCTGTGCGCATGGATGCTCTCTGCCTGCCACACTGGCCATGATCCCAAGACACTGGGCACAACATCACTGTCCCTTAGCAGGTGGCTCCATCTGTTATGACACTCCCCAAATAGAAGAGTAACTGTGTCTACAAAGCGCTGGCCCTGTGCCAGGTGTTGTTCCAAGCACTCCACAAACATTTCCTCAGTTTATGTCCTGACAGACCCAGAAAGCAGGCTTTCCTCTTATCCCTGTTCCAGATGGGGAAACTGAGGCACAGACAAGTAGGGAACTTGGCCCACGCCAGTGAAGAAGAGGTGAAGCCAGGATTTGAACCTAGACAGGAAGCTGGGAATTTGTTCAAGGACATTCCCTATCTATGTGGTAACAGCGCCGGATGCAAGCTTGGTTTTCAAGCTGTGTTATGTCCAGAAAAGGATCTGGTGGTTGTTCTTAGGCTCGTCTGAAATGAATGTCGCTATAGTGCTGGTGAGGGAGTGAGCGGAGTGGAAAAGTAGCATGCATCTGCAGCTGATTTCAAAGGAAGGGCGAACACACACTTGTCATATGCTTGTCAGAACCGGCCCAGGATAGCTCCCAGCTGCAAGCAGCTTAGAACCGAGAGCCTAAGGGCAGGATGAGTCTTGATGCTTCGTTTGCAGAGCAAGCTCAGTGTTTTTACCTTAGTGGTATGTTTATTTGGGAAGAGGGGTGTTGAGGGAGATTATGGGGGTCCAAGCACCCCTCAGCATTGCTCTTAGTGTCCCTCTGCCTGCAGGTAATGACTCAGTGAGCAGTGGGATATGATTGGTAGGATAAGATCAGCACTGATGAGAAAAGGAGCGGTATAGGAGAGAATATGCCCAGAGCACCTGAAGGCATCAGCATGCTGCTTTGTGGAAGATTCCAAACTTCTACAGGGAAGATACATAAAGATACATAAAGGCTTTACATACATAAAGGTAGCCTTCCTTTAGTTTAGGTCAGAATCAGATTCTGCCACCAAGTTGGTTTCAAAAAAACTTTTTAGATTTCAGAATTGCAGACAAAGGACTGTGGACTCCTATGTGTGCGTGTGTGTGATGTAAGTCAGTCCTACCTTCCTTCCTCCTTCCTTCCTTCCCTCCCTTTTTTTCCATTAACTGTCATATGTGGTCAAAAAAGTGAAAGCCACTGGCAGAATGTTTTTGTAAATACACTATATGTATGTAAATGTTTTGTTGCTTGCAGCTGGAGTTGGAGGCAGGAGCTTAGGGTGGGCGGAAGGTGTTATTTTGTGCTATGTATGTTTTGTACCTTGGAGTTGTTTGCATTACTTTTTCAATGAGAAAACAAAGACCCAAATGGGGTAGTGTTTAGTGTGGCACTGGAGCTCAAGAATCTTGAAGTTAGTAATGATGAGGAGCCTGAGATTCCAATCCCAACCCAACCCCTGACCTGATGTGGGTCTCTGGATAAAGTGGCCCCCTCTCTGAGCCTCAGGTTATCCCTTCAAAGGATGGAGGGGCCACATCATATAAGAGTATGTCAGAGATGAGATTACTCACATGGCCTAGGGGGCTCATGGTATGCAGGAGGCACTGCATACATGGTTATTCTGATTCTCGCCAGGGTGGGGCTGAGGACTGTCCCTCTCATGTCCATCTATCTGATTTCTAATCCCTGTAGTACCCCTGCCTTTGTTCTTCTGGGTGTACAGCAGCCCACAGTGGGCTGGCAACCATCCAAGACTCCCGGCCCTGGGAGTCATCTGTGAAAGGAAATGCTGCAGGGAGGGGGCCCAGGATGCCCAGAGTTGGGGAAGGAGGAGGTCTAGGCTGGGATGGGGGCAGTCACCCAAAGAGCTGCAGGCGTCCGTTATCCTTGGCAGGCCCGGCCAGCAGCAACAGATCTGGGAGTTCCAGGGCTGGACTGGAGGCTGCCACCCCCATGGTGACCTTGTTGGCGACTTCTCCTAACCGGGTCACCTGAGGCCAGGGGTTAGAGGTTAGAAGCAAGATAGATGGAAGGCAGGATTGGCAGAATTAGGGGTCATGAACCAAGTGTATTAAACACCAAGTCCGGGTTCAGATATCCTGGGGTCAGAGGTTGAGCTATCCGGGTGTGAAGTGAAAATGAACCAAGGGAATTGGAGGCCAGGGTCCACAGAGAAGCTAAAGGTCTAGAGGCATGGAGGGGTGTGTGTGGGGGGTTGATCCAGAATCCCAGGATATGAACGTTATGGGCGAATGGTCAGAAGTAGGCAGAGCAGGGATTCCCCGAGTCAGGAGGTCAGGACTCAAGCCCAGGGCCCGTGTCAGGGGGTTCTGGGACTCCACACCTGCACAAAGTTGCTCTCAAAGATGGGGAAGTCTCGCAGCTGGTCGAACTCGCCGCTCAGGAGGTGGCGCTGGAGCCGTCCGGGCCGGCCCGTGGGATAGGCTGGAACCAGGGGGCATTCTACAGGGGCGAAGTTCAGGGGTCCAGTCCAGGAGACTGGGCCGGGGCCCCCCAGCTGGTAGGGCCCAGGGAGGTCCGGCTCTGAGGGTAGGGGAATCTGGGCTACCAGTCTTCGTATCGCGGGCCCCATCCCTCACTTGGTTCCCTCACCTGGCCCAACCCTGCCAGGCCGGGCTCCGCCTGTCACCTACCATCCCACCAGGTCCCGCCTCACCTGCTCCACCGGGGGCCGGCTTAGTCTCGTGCCCCCGCATCATCGCAACGCCCCGCCCCATGGGGAGAGCGGAGGGAGGGGCCGGCCGAGAAAACAGGTGGGTGGGGCCGCGGACTCTATCCCTTCACAGCGCGGCGGACCGGGCTTGAACGTCACCAGGGAAACGCCCGTTATTGTGACGTCTCCCAGCGGGCGGTGCCCAGAAACCTGGATGAGGTGCCGGCCACCTAGCTGACGTCAGACCCCGGGAGCGGGAGGGCACTGGTGCGCAGGCGCAAAGAACTGGCGCGCAGGCGCAAAGAACTGGCTCAGGCTCAGGATCACGCAGCTCCACAGCGCCCGGCTCAAGCCCGCCCCGGACTAGTGGGAGGGGGTCAAAATGGCGGCGGCCGGTGCTGTGGTTACTCGGCTGTTCCTGCTCTTGCTGATGGCGGCAGCAGCCCCCAGCCGGGCTCGGGGCAGTGGCTGTCGGTCCGGGGCCGCTCTGCGAGGGGTGAGTACTCATTGGCTCTGCACGGGGAGCGAGGCTGACGAAAACCCTGGGTCTCGGGTGTTTCGGTCCGGTAAGGTGCGAACGAGGCATTGCACGGCCAAGAGGGAAGAAGAGGTCAAAGTGAGTAGTTGGGAAGGCTCTGTCTGGCTCGTGAATATGCATGAGGGGGCGGGGCTCGGACGAGAGCTAGGTCCCCGGGCTTTCGGTGCTCTAAAAGCGAGAACAGGCCGAAGGAGGTTGGGGCAAGATCAGCGCGTTAACGAAGGAACGCTAGGGAGCCGCCGTCGTTAAATATGCATGAGGGGGTGTGGCCTGAGCGGAACCTTGGCCAATCAGACGTAGGGGCGGCAGAGACGAAACCGACAGGAAGGCTCTGGAGTGATTGGGTAGAGTTGTGCCTCCTGAACATGCTTTGAGGAGGGCGGGATCTTGATTTGAAGGATTAAAATCTGGTCCCGCGGTTCCGCAGGTGTGAGGGGTTGCGTAGATGCAAGGGCTTGGTTGGTGGATGCGGAGGTAGGAGAAATAGGGATTTGGAGAAATACACGGCGAGGAGCCTTGGATGTACTTGATAAGGGGCGGAATCCCGGCGGCGGCGTGGCTATTGTGGCTGTTAAGGTGAAAACGAGGCTACTTGTATATTAGACTGGGGAAGAAGCGCAGGTATCCTTTAACCCGCGAATGTTTATGATGTTAGGCGTGAAGATAGTTGCCTTGGAACTGAAGATGGTTGCCTTGGAAACAAGGAAACGCTTCTCTGCAGGCTTTGGCTTTCTAGGGACCGTCCAGATCATGAATTTTTATGAATGGACGGTTCCCGGTGGAATCGTGGGCAAGTTCTTGGGGTCCTTGGGTCCTGCCCTGCCGAGGGCTCTGATAGTCCTCACTTGGGGACCTCTCTCTCACCTGCAGGCAGGAGCAGAAGGTCGAGAGAGTGAGGGCTGCGGCACTGTGGGGCTGCTGCTGGAGCACTCATTCGAGATCGGTGAGTCCAGCAACGTCCTCATCTGGGCGTTTACCCGGTGCCACGTGAAGTCAAAAAGTTGGGTCTGGGTGCCACCCAGTGTGAGACACACCATCCATCTACTAAAAGCTTTGCCCCCAGAGTGTGTTTGCATTATTCCGGGGAGATTGGAGCAGGGAGGGCAGGAGAGAGAAGAACTCTACCTTTGAAAAACTCCCTTTACCTGTAAAACAAATCCTAGTTTCAGAAAGGCCAGTGCAGCAGTAATGACCTCAGAGCAGACTTTTCAGAGCAGTCACCCTGTGCCCTACACTAGGGACTCGCTGCTCTGCGTGTATTCGCTCAAATGCCCTCACAGGCGTCATGCAACGCAGGAGGTATTAGAGACAGCCACCATTTACCAGAAGGGGAAACTGAGGCTTGGGCGGGGTACCACCATGTAAGTGAATGGTAGAGCTAGGCCCTACTCTACAGCTCAGCCTAATTAACTATGATTCAGGTGTTCAGATTCCCAGGGCATAGATGTCACTATGGCCCAAAGGTCCAAGGCCCCAAAGTCTGGGGCTTTTGTTAGAAACACTAAAGTGGGGACCCCCCACAGACCTGACTCAGACCCTGGCATCCTCCTGGGAAAGCGCCACTGGTTCTCACGTGGCCCACTGGTTGGAAGCCCCTGGATTTTGCAGCTGGGAGAACTGAGGTCAGAGATTAGGTGACTATCCCTGGGTCACATGGAAAGGCCAAGACAGGGCTTAGGAGCTGTGATGTTCAGACATCTGCCCTGTGAGATAGGAGGGCAGGATACGGGAGGGTGTCCCCACTTTGCAGGTGGGTAAATGGGGGCTCGGGAGGGAAGCAGTGTGGTCATTGCAAGGGTTGAGGGGCCCATTGGTGGGGTGGCTGTTGAGCCCTGACTCCCCACAGATGACAGTGCTCACTTTCGGAAGCGGGGCTCCCTGCTCTGGAACCAGCAGGATGGCACTTTGTCCCTGTCGCAGCGGCAGCTCAACGAGGAGGAACGGGGCCGGCTCCGGGTGAGCAGGGGGCCCAGGGCTTGGCTGGGGTGTAGGGGAACCTGTGCCTTGGAGCATGACATGCATGCCTCACATGCCCGTGCCATTTCTTCTGCCCAGCACATCCCCTTCTCCCACAGTTTTCATATAGTTAGCTCCTCTCACCCTTCCAGATTCAGCCAAGATGCTTTATATTCAGGAGGAGATTTGCTTGGGAGGAGAAAGAGATCTCTAAGAGCTGTAGTTAAACAGAGGACAGTTATCTCGACCATAGCCTCCTTCATGGCTTCCTTGAGGGCCGGGCTGTGGCTAGGCCTGGCTTGGTCCTCTCTAGGGATGGTGCAAGGAGGAGGAAGTGCGGTAGGCCAGAGGAGGAGAAAAAGGAGGAGCAGGGAGAGAAGCTGTCTTTTAGAGACAGCTCACAGAAGCTGCCACAGTCCACTGCCACTCTCTCCCTTTGGCCAGATGTAGTGGCTGGGGAGGTGGGTTGCATTGTGGCAGATACATGCCCATGAACACCCTCCCTGTGGGGAGTGGTCCACCCCAAGCAGCCTTCCTGTAGGGTTCCCACGTGGTTCTTTGTCACAGCTGCTTCCCAAGAGAATTTGTTGCTCCTGTGACTGGGGAGTCCAGGTACAGGTGGGCCTGGGTGAAGCTGGATCCAGGTTTGAGGGAAGTGTCCCTGGGACTCATTCCATCCCTGGGCTGGGCTCTACTCCCCTTAAGATGGCTTCTCCCCCAGCTGGAGCACCCAGGGGCTCCTGGCCTCACTCACCAGCAGGGCCACCCACTAGGAAAAGTCCTGGGCTAGAGAGAAAGGGATGCTGGGTGAGCAGGACTGGTCTGGGCCTGGCGGGGGCCACACATCATCCTTCTCCCTGCCACCCTCCTCCTCTATCCTGCAGGATGTGGCAGCCCTGAATGGCTTATACCGTGTCCGGGTCCCTCAGCGTCCTGGGGTCCCTGATGGCGCAGAAGCTGGTGGCTACGTTTCCTCTTTTGTCCCCGCGGTGAGTCAGCAATGGGGACCATCCTCTCTTCTCTCCTACCTTCTCCTTCCTCCTATCTGCCCCAGCCTGGCTTCTTCTGTCTGTGCCCCTGTGTTTATGGACCTGGCCCTGCCCCCAAGGGTCTCCTGGGCTGGAGGGGGACATTCCAGGTGCTGGGCCCTTTAATGGGACAGTGTGGGCCCTCAGAGGGAGGCTGTTGCCCTTCGGCTAGTGTCCAAGGGAGGAGGGAACCGTGAGGGCTTTGAAAGATCCTTCTGGGCCCTGTGAGAGGGGCTGGGAGGCGTGGGTGGCTGGACGTGGGCAAGGTCTGGGTGGCAACCCCATCCCCCTCCCCCTCCCCAGTGTTCCCTGGTGGAGTCTCACCTGTCAGACCAGCTGACACTGCACGTGGACGTGGCTGGCAACGTGGTGGGGGTGTCAGTGGTGACGCACCCCGGGGGTTGCAGGGGCCACGAGGTGGAGGACGTGGACCTGGAACTTTTCAACACTTCAGTGCAGCTACAGCCGCCCGCCACTGCCCCAGGGTGAGGACACACAGGGCACATTTGCCCCAGGGTGAGGGTGTGCGGTGTGGGTGTGTGGGGTGCGGATGTTCCAGGGTCAGAGCCAGGGCACGGATGCAGGGCAGGGTGGCCACAGCCCTATCTCGGGCTCAGCCATCCTGCTGCTGCCTTTGCTGTGTCCCTGTCAGCAGCCCCAGCCCCTTACCCTGTCTCCTTCTCTGCCCACCCTTAGTCCTGAGACAGCCGCCTTCATCGAGCGTCTGGAGATGGAGCAGGCCCAGAAGGCCAAGAACCCCCAGGAACAGAAGTCCTTTTTCGCCAAATATGTGAGTGGAGCTCTGCGTGCCCCTGCTCCCTTCCCTCCTGAGTCCCCCCTCTGCCCTGCTCTCTCCCATGGCCCTTGGCCTGCTCCTCATCCTCCAGGCCTCCTGTGTGTGGGGCTTCCTTGTCGCCTCGAGGCGTGTCTCTCCAGCCATGTCCCTGGCACCTGGGCTTAGCCTAAGGCCTGGACAGAGTGGGTGAGGACCGTGGAGCCCTGCGCCCTGCCTCTGCCTGCTCACTGGCAGTGGTCATGGGGTGTCCAGGCTCAGCAGATGGGGCCGGCCCAGAGCCTGACAGTTCTGGGAAGCAGGGACAGCCTCTCAGGCTGGGGCTGATGGGTACAGGCAGTGTCAGTCTAGAACCGAGGCCTGTCTGGAAGTGCAGTGAGGAGGGCTGTGGTCAGGGGAGGGATGGGGTTGGTACTGGGAGGAGGCTTGGGTGAGGCCTGAGCTGGGCCAGTGCTTCGAGGCTGAAGAAGAGAGGGAGGCAGAGATTTCAATGGGACGGGGAGATTTGGAAAGGAGATAGTGGGTTTGGGGAGAGGCACTTAGGGAAGCAGGGCTGTGGGTGGAGGTGCTCAGGAGGCTGGTCTGGAACTGGAGAGGGGCTTCTGTGCTGCTGGGCTGAGGCAAGTAGGAGGAGCTTAGGGGCACCGGGGCAGAAGGCTGGTCCACCTGAGGCAAAGGCAGGGGCAGCGGAGGCCACTGTGGTTGGGAGGATGCCAAGGCCTACTGCCTTGAGTGTGGTGCCTGTGGGGCCTCAGTTAGTTTGCCAGTAGCTCCTGACAACTGAACTGCAGGGAAACTGAGGTGCAGAGAGACCAGGAACCCACTGCCTCAGTTCCACCTTCCCCGTGGGCGCCATCGGTCCTGACCTGTGCCCCCTCCCTCCTCAGTGGCACCTCGTCCTCGGGGGGGCCGTGTTGCTCACAGCCCTGCGTCCTGCTGCCCCGGGGCCCACACCGCCGCCGCAGGAGGCCTGAGTGAGGATTGAGCCCCCTCCCGCCTCTACTCTCCCTGCACCCCACCAGCCCTTCCCTATCCTGTAGTAATGTAGGGGACCTGGGCCCCCTTCCCTCACGTGGCCTCCCCTCACGCCGGCTTGCCCACCTTCCCCGCCTGGGTGAGGAGTGCAGTCATACTCACTCCTCTTCTTTTTGTCTCTCTCTCTTTTTGTCTGTCTGTCCATTGTCCTGTCCTCCCACCTGGCCCACAGTGGATGTACATCATTCCCGTCGTCCTGTTCCTCATGATGTCAGGAGCGCCAGATGCCGGGGGCCAGGGAGGGGGTGGTGGCGGGGGCGGTGGGGGGGGCAGTGGCCGCTGAGGGGCCTGGGGCCTGTCAGATCCCTGGTCCTCTCTCATCCAGGCTACTCCCTTCCTGCCCAGAGTGCTCCTGTCCTTGATCATCCCAAGAAGGATTTGCTAGCTCCTCCCATCTCCATCCCATGAGGGCAGGAAGACACCCCTCCCCAGGAGTCCTTTCCCTCTGGGTGGATGGGTAACCAGATTCTGGTGCACCCTTCCTGCCCCTGTGGTCCCTTTGGAGCCCCAAAGACTTCCTCTTGCCCATGGCGTGAAGCTCAAGCTCCCCTTCCAGCTCTGACCCTGTGTCTGTCCTCACCACCCCCAAGCCTCATAGTTTGGGAACATGCCGACTTCTCTCCAGCCTCTGTGCCTTTGTTCGTGGTCCTATCCTGCCTGTCCCGGCTGGACTAGATGGTCCTCCTAATTTGTCTGACACTGGATGGGGCCACGCACTTCCCACCTGTGTGCCCTTGAGGGGCCTGGTACAGAGCAGGTGCGGGCTGGCCCCATTCCTCCCAGCAGCCCTGCCTTGGGACCCTGCTCTGGCCTTTATCTGCCCATGGCTCTGAACGGGACTTTAGCTTTCCTGCCCTGTCAGCATGCCAAGCCTTCCATAGGATTTGGGGCATGAAGAAATGGTGTTTTGTTTTGTCTTTACATTTATTTATTTATTCATGAGAGAGAGAGATAGGCAGAGAGACAGAGACAGAGGCAGACTCCACACAGGGAGCCCAATGTGGGACTCGATCCAGGATCCCAGGATCACGCCCCTGAGCCGAAGGCAGTCGCCCAGCCGCTGTGCCACCCAGGTGTCAAGAAATGGTGTTTAAAGTGAAAACAAAGCAAGCTAACCTTTAGTATAGAGTCAAGGGCCGGATGATATAAATAGAACCCCTTCCCCTGTCTGGAGTGTCTTCCCTAGGAGGAGGCACCAGGAGAGGACTGCCTGGCCTTTCGTATTTATCACACACACCCCTTATCTATGTAAAAATATTGACAATATACTGAAATACATCAATGTTTTGAAAAGGTACAACTTCCAGCAACCAAATCCAACTGTTGATTTGGTTCTAAGGAAGTCCTGCTGTACAGACTTTATCGAACCTTGCTCTTTGCTTCACATGTTACTCGGAAACACAGAAGCGGCTGTCACGGTCGCTGTAATGCCTGCGTGATGCTCCATGGTGTTGTATGGCAGTTTATTAAACTGTTCCCCAGATGTTCAACATTTATTGTCTGACTCGATATGGTTATAAATAGCACTACAGGGAGTGCTGTCCAGTCTCTCTTCGGTGAGTTTGAGTGATTTCCTGGGGACGTGTGACCAGAAGTGGAGTGACTGTGACAGACTGGAAACACTTATGAAAAAGTAACACAGTCACGTGGCTCGACCGTTAAAACAGTATAAAAGGTGCATGGTGGACAGTTGTTCCCGCCCATTTGATTTGCTTATTTCCTCTCCTAGTGTGTTTGCCAGCACAGGCAAACAGGGACGCACATTCTCCTCCTTTCTCTGCAACATGGAAGTAGTGAATTCCCTACACTGCCTCGCACTTGACTTGCTTCTTGGCTCCTACACAGTATGTTCTGGTACCTTCTCCTAGTGGGGGAGTGGCCTTTTATGTCCCACCAGAGACATGCACCGGAGCTCATGCAACCTGGACTCCACCTACCGATGTCACTGTTGTCACTGGTGCAGATGTAACCAAGCTAAAACCCCCAGAATCCAAATGGCTGGGCAAAGGGAGGTGGCATTTGTAAAGTGATTCATATTGCTGAGTCGCCCTCCACAGAGCGAACCCCAATCGCCACTTCCCCCATGGCTGCACCAACATGGCTCAAACTTTCCCATGTCATCCTTAGGCTCTGCATCTGTCTCAAGAGGGAAGTGGAGCACGGTAGCACCACTGGGATTTCCTGAAAACTGTTCTTGTCCATTGTTCCAGGGCAGCATTTATGATTTTGAATGCCTCCTGTGATTTGTCTGATGTTGCTGACACCTCAGGCCACCCTGTCTGTTTTCTGGTACCTGTAGATCCCTGTCTGGTGGTGGCCCTTCCTCTGGCCCTTCTCTTCCCTCCAACCCCGCCAAGCCACTCCCTGCTGCATTGTGACCCAACCTAAGAGTCCCAAACCATCCCCGATTTGTACTTCCTCAGTATTTTCTTTGACTATGTTGTTGTATTACGTACCCGCCAGCAGTGGGAGTTATTGTTTGACCGGTTTCTCTGTGGCTTGAATACATAAAACAGTGTCCCAGAGGTGCCCTGACTTGGCATTTCTTTCTCAGCCAGTGTGTGCTGTGTTCTGTACTCCACGTGAATTCTTTTGCTCCCCCTCTGCGATTGCCCCCCTGGTGCTGCCTGGTGAACAGGGTTCAGACTCTGCCTTCCTAACCCTTTGTTTCACTGGCAGGTGCTTTTTTGCCCCAGGCATTTGTGGGTCCATTTTGTTAATTTTTAGTAGATGGAGATCGAATTCTTTACCTGTCTGATGGCCTTTTTTGCTCTAAGACTCTCTCTCACTCTGGGACCAGTAGAGTTAATCTTCTGGTATATTCCAGTCAATGTCTGAGCTAGTTCAGGCTCCTTGGGGCTCTGGCCTCATTAAACTTTTCTAATTCTCGCCTGTCCCTGGAGAGCTCATTTTATTGATGATTTCATCTTATTGACCAGGGGAGCCAGGGTTATAGCTTGGACCTCAAAAGATGCCATAAGATCCAAAGCAAAGAGCCTTCTGCTCACCCCAGCCAGGCACCTACCTGTTCCCCTTCACAGGGGGATGCCTGAGTTTCCAGCCTCCTGTGCATCGCTTTGGAGCTAGTCTCTCCATAAGCAAGCAGATATGTATGTAAATAGTTTTACCAAAGTGTGTCGCTCTATTTTTTTTTCCTCCCTATATAAGTTGGAGAGTTTTTTCCTCTCTATCTTACATCTTGGATATAAAGTGGGTCCTCATCCTGCGATGTGGCGGGCTTGGAGGTGATTTCAGGGTCCCCCTGGATGGACCTCTGGGCTGTTTCTGGCAGTGCTGTGGGAATCCCCACGTGCCTGCATCATTTGGCACACGCATGTGTGTGTCTCCAGGTCACATTGCCAGGTGAGGACTGGCCGAGGGTGGTCTCGGCGACCTCCCATCTTCCCTGGAGCCGCTCTTGCTGATCACCCCCAAAGCCATCTCCAGCCCAGACTCCCCTCCTGGTCTCCCGACCCGTGGCTACCTTCTCTAGGGTGTGCCTCTGGGAGAATTGGTGCCACCTGTCCACCCCCAGTCAGAGCTCCTCCAGGAGTCCTTAGCCTAGTAAGCGGTGCTACCACCTACATGGCCTCCCAGATCAGAGCACTGCTGTGCCTTACTCTGCTGTTCCTTCCTGCCTCACTCCTTTTCTTGTCCCCATGGCCCCAGCCCTAGCCTCCTCTTCCCCGACTCGGAACATCAGCCCAGTCTCTTTCCTGGCTTCATGGAGGGGAGTTCTGACACTAGGGCGGCCCCTACTCCTAGCCCTGCCATGGCTCCCCAGTGCCCTCAGGACAAAACCCCAGCTCCTTAGCCTTGCCCTTGAGGTGTGTTAGTTTCTGACCTATTCCTCCATTTCAGTTTCATTGTCAGCCACCCCCCAGCCTTAATGAATGAGTCCCTCAGATACCACCAAGCCAGGCTACAGGCACCTCCTACACCCCCATATCTCTCCCTCTCTGTCTCCATGGAACTTAGTGCCCATTCTCTCCTCCTACACCCTCACCCCGGCCTCCTGACTCTTGGTCTATCTAAGATGAAAGAGCACCTGCAAAGTAAATGCTCAGTGAAAGGATTGCCTCCCTCCCCAGTCTCCTTCCTCACTTTTTGATGCCCTTTGCCTGGTGAAATGTTACCAGCTCCCTGGCATTTAGGAAAACCCCTTTCCCAGCCCAGTGTTCCATATTGTTATTTAGGTGTACTTGGTGCAGTTATAGGACAGGCAATCTTTTAAAATATATAAGGCTGATTTTAATATTTTAAGACTCTCCTATCCCAGATTTGCATTGTAGCAAGTGGCTTTTGGAAAGAGTTCCACAGGCTCCTTTATTTAACCCATCAGAGAGAGACTTCATGGTGAGGATCAGGGTCCAATCCCTGGGGCCTCTAGCCGGCAGTCAGTCACCTTTGCCTGCACCCACCTTCCGTTCAGCAAGGCATGATGGCGTCATTGCAAAGGAAAACTTGATCTGGCCCAGTTCCTAGAAAAAGGCTCCCAAGCAAACTGTAAACCAAATCCCACTCTCCTTTGTTTGCCATAGTAGTTAGGTATACATTTCCATGGCAGTGCAGGAGAGAATCCACCCATGGGATGAGTTGAAAACACAACATCTGGAGGTTTAGGTTGACATACCAAGGAACTTGCTGGCTATGATGTTTACATACTGACTAGGAGTAAAATGTTCCCTTTTACAGAATTTTGCTTGACACCATTCCAGCATCTAATATAGCTGGGATACAGTCCTGTCTTCCATCAGCTGGTGGTGATGAACGATTCCACCTCGCCCAAGAATGCCTCTCAGGCCGATAGGATACTCTCCTGGGTGTTCTGGGGGAGGTCAGGCCCACATGGCCCTGTTGCTGAAAAGAAGTGCCTTGCAGGGGGGTCGGGGTGGGGGTGCTCTTGGCCCCTGGGAAGGTCGGGGTTTCCATGAAGCCTTTGTCCCAGCAGATGCCAGTCCTCTGGAACACGGGTGTCGATTTTCTCATCTGTGAACGGGGAGTCGGGAAGTCTTGTGCTCCATGCTGCTGCCTGAGGAAGAAAAGATGGTGGCGGGTTGGGGAGAAGAACCGGGCAGAAAGGAGGCAGCCCCCTTCTCACCAAGCTTAGGAGTCCGGGGATCAGCAGAGTGGAGAGGGAGCCAATTCCTGGCCCAGCCAGTCTGTCCTGCCACTTACACGCAAATCTCTTTAGGCAACTCACACCCCGTTTCAGGGCCAGTTCCTCACGTCCTCCTTCCTGGGCTGGGTGGCAGGCCTCATTCCTCCAGGCAGTGGCCAGCATCCAGGACAGAAAAGAGAGAAAATGGGTGTCACCAAGGCCCTTCCACCACCAGGGCCTCCTGGCGTGGGAGCCCTGCTCTTGCCACATACCCGGCACCTATCCCTAGGAGGATGTCAGCTCAGAACCTCAGGGAGGGAGAGGGATGGTCGGTCAAGGGAAAGGACCTCAGAGCTCACGTGGAGCATGCAGAAGCCTCGCTGACAGGAGACTGGGAGGCTTGGGTCAGAGGAAAGGAGGCCAGTAGAGGGGAAAGATCTGAGAGGAGAGGGAGCACAGGTGACAGACTCAGAGGGGGAAAAGAAACGGAGAGATACTGGAAACGAGAGAAGACGGGAGAGAAGGCAAGGAAGCCAGCAGGAGAGGGGAGCAAGGAGGCAGGAGATGAGAGAGAAGACAGGCTGGGGGGAGGTCCTAGGAGAAGGAGGCAAAAGGGGAGAAGAAAGGAGACCTTGGGACCTGAGAGCGAGGCTGGGGGCAGGAGAAGGAGGGAGAGGGACCGAGGGATAGAGTTGGAAATGGAAGGCAGAACAGAGGATGGGCAGGGAGGAGAGAGACGAGAAGGGGGGGTGCTGAGCAGGCAGGGAGCAGTTGGGAGCAGCTGAGACCCACGAGAGAGCCACGGAGTAAGAAGGCCGAGGGCCGAGGGGCAGGAAGGAGCGGAGAGCTGGCTGGCAGCCAGGGGGCCGAGGCCGCGGCCAAGCGGGGCGGGCAGGGGAGCAGGCCGAGGAAGGGGAGAGAAGCAGACGGGAAACAGAAAAGGATAGAAAGGCAGACTGGAGCGCAGCCCCGGTGGCGCAGCGGTTTGGCGCCGCCTGCCGCCTGCGGCCTGGGGTGTGACCCTAGAGACCCGGGGGGGTCGGGTCCCACATCGGGCTCCCTGCATGGAGCCTGCTTCTCCCTCTTCCTGTGTCTCTGCTTCTCTCTGTGTCTATGGATAAATAAGTAAAATCCTTAAAAAAAAATTTTTTTTAAGGCAGACTGGAGTGTGGAGAGCGGGCCGGCGGGGAAGAGAAGGGCAGAGGCGGCGAGAGGCTGAGAAAGGAGGGGTGAGGGAGGGGCGGGGAGAGGAGGTGAGAGAAGTGGCGGATAAAAGGTTGGAGAGGAGAGCGCGCGAGGACCAGGCTGAGAAGAGTGAGGTGTGGAGTGAGGGGTGACTGTGTCACAGCGGGTGTAGGGGCGGCGGGAGCGCGGCAGGAGCAGGAGGGCGA